CCTCCCAATTTACATATCACTATAACAACAGTGGTGATCAGAATAACTCCCTGATCTGCTGGACTGAGACACTTTCCTTGGATCTGAGCAGGTTCATTTTGCCTCCATGGGGAAAGACACAATTTGCCATTCTATGTTAAAACTCATGAGCAGCTTGTGGCTTCTGAGTGGTCTTTACATGTCCAGTGACTGGGGATTGTGCCAAAGAGGACTGGCACCTGAACCAGGAGTCACTCCCTGTGGGTCATATGTAATGAGGAGAGATGACTCCTGGTTTCTATCAAGTGGACATCTTTGTTGGTATACAGCCAATGCAAGCTCTCCTTTGGACTTCCAGTAGGGGTGGGGGAGGTTTACTCTCCATACCTTCATCCCCAAATGCAGCAGTAATGGCAACCACACACAAATGACAGCAGGAATAGGATTGCCTAGGTTCACCTCAGATTGGACCTCAGATGAATAGCTGCTTCTTCCTATGTTGCTTTCCCTGAGTCTAGGTCATTGAACAGCAATCCTGAGATACAGTCACTTACAGTCCTATAGGTAACCTTGGGAGCTCAAGAGGTCAGGAGCTCATTGCCCACCAGAAGGTGGTTGCAATCACAGCTTCACAGAGAAGGGCACTACCTTCTCTGGAGAATCCTTGACTAAAGACTGCTTGGTCAGCCAGAAGTTCTGCACTTAGGGCCTGCTTGATCTGTTCAGATGAGAGGCAAGAAAGAAAAACCTGTTGAGTGCAGTCCTGCCACACAGGGCAAAGTACCCCAGTTGTGGTGGGTTAGGGTTTCCTGTATTAAGTATTTGGCAATACATACCTTTGGGTCTTAACCATTTTTTTAAGATGACTGAAAATAGAGATCCTAGAACTTCTGTCTACTTTGTACATAAGGATCTTTTCTAGAAAGGAGCCCATTATCCCACTTTTAGGGGGACCCAGGCATGAGCCATAATGACCACAGTTGATTTAGATTTCCCCCAAACTCAATGGTAGGACAAGAATCTAGAGAGGGTGTGAAAACAAAGTCTTTGATCCCCTCTCTTTAGGCTTAGAATGTATTCCAGGTCTGCTGGAGACAAGAGTTGGAGCCCTTTGGGTGGGAACACCTCCCTACACTGACCCTCAGAGGAGATTTAGTAGACACTGTCTCTCTGGGATAAGTTGTGCATACCTCCACTGAAGAAATGATTTTTCACTTCTGTCTTTGTATGCTCCACACCTACCTGACCCAGAGCAAGTGCCTTCAAAAGGTTTTTTGAAACTCTGAAGGACTCTAAAACTCTGATAAATGTAGTGATAAAGCAGCAGTGAAAAGGACTGAAGATGAATCAGGCCATGGACACCTCCTGCCAAGAAGGGGACAGCCCTCCAATCCAGAATGAGACCTGCACACTGGGGTGTGACAATGAGGGCACTTCTTTGGCTGGCCTAGGCACAGTTATTGAGAGAGTTTTCTAAATGTGTTCTAAGAAGGAGTAATGGGAAGGAAAGACAATGAATGTTTGTAAAATACATTTTTAAAATTAAAAATATTGGGAGACACCAATATATGAATACTTGCTCATTGTTTGATAGGCAAGGGAGTTATTATCCTTCTTTTCTTTTTAACATATGAAGAAATCAAGAGAGGTCCAATGACCCACTCAGAGTTTCAGAGTGGGAAAGGGGAAAGATGGGTGAGAAGCTTTGTCTATAGAAGGCCTCAGACAGAGCCTTGCACTTAATAGGCATTCAATCACCATTTGCTGAATGGATGAATGAATGAATGAATGAATGAATGAATGAAATGGCCCAGATTCATAAAGGTCCTACAGGTTAACCTTCTTTCTTTTGTTTTCTTTTGATGGCTGCAATGGTTTCACTTAGAATTTCTGGTCCTTAATGGATTTAGTGCCAGAGGGAAAAGAGACATATAAAGAGTCTGGGGCAAGTTGTAGCTTCAGTCATGGACACTCTTCACCTGCAGATTGCTGTCTCCTTCTAATAGAACTTTGTTGGTGTCATGGAACCCTTGAACGGTTGGTCTAGGGAAGACTGCAAGATCCAGACTTCTCAGAATTATGTTTTTAAGTACATAAAACAAATCACATCCGATTACAAAAGAAACTAAAAGTTAGTGAAAATAAAGATGCATTTTTCCCCATCCAATTCCATGGATCCCCAGTGGAAGTCTGTCCAAGGACCCCAGTGTAAAAACTCTTGTGCTAAAATAGAAGCTTCTTCAGGGCCAGAATGGTCTCACTTCTGCATTTGTACCTCCAGCACCTAGCACTTAGTACTTGACACATAATAGATATATAAATGCTTTTTTATTCATTTATCCATACCTGACAAACACAGCCTCCTGAGGTAAGTAGGCTAAGGTAAGACAAAATTTCAGAAGTGCCCTTGGCATTAGTGATCTGCATGTCTCTTTGCTGGGAGAGGGGGAGAGCAACTCTGTAGAGCTCTCAGAGCTCAGTCAGGTCAGTGCTTTTTGTTTGTTTGTTTTGTTTTGTTACAAAGGAACTTAGCCATGGCTCTAGTCAGAGGATCTGAATTCAAATCCCATCTTTGACATTTATCATCTGTATGATCTTGGGAAAGTCACTATGTTCTTTCTTCTCAAGGTTGGACAAAATGACCCCAGAAGGCCCTTCTCATTCTGAATCTATGATTTGAAGTACTCAATTCCCAAGATACACAACTGGCTTTTCTAAAGTTTAGCTTAGGTCACAGACCTAGGGGACACATATCTATCAATCATGTCTCCCTTTCTCTCAGCCAGCACACACAGTCCCTCTATTCCATCCTGTCAAAACACACTAGGTTCCCTGGTGACAGGTGAGAGCTATCTGCCTTCCCACTGCCAATGTCACAAAGAGATGCCCATTTGAGGCACCCACCCCTCCAGCCATGAGAAGTTATTGCTCTGATCATTGGTTAAACAAAGAGAAAAGTAGCTGTCAAGGCTCAGGGCAGGAGTTTTGATTCTTCCTCATTGGGGTGAATCACACTCAATGGAAGGCTCCATCTTGAATATATCTGAGGAGGAATACATATAGAAAACCAGAAGCCTTTGTTTTTAAAAGCTTTGACTAAAGCAAAATCTCAAGTTGGTCAAGGAAATAGAAATGTCCATCATCACAAGCTGTCATTTAGCCAGGCTGCCCATAAAGGACACCAGTGGATTGGAGGCCCTTGGGCAGAAGATCATTAGAATAACTTCTGACTTTCTTGACATCACCTTTAGTCTTTTTAATCTTAGAAGGTGATTTGGGTCTTCTCAGGCATTTGCTCTGGATTGTTTTTTCTTTCTATTTTAATTCACATCCTGTGTCTATATCATTCCCAGAAAAGCAAAAAAGGGTAGAAAGGATTATGGAATTCAAGCTGGAAGGAATGTAAAAGATTGTCCTGACCACAGATAAGGAAACAAAGAAGTTTACAGTAGAAAGTGCCCAGGTGCTGTGACTTTATTAGACTTCAGGTTCTTTGTGGATTATTTGGTGTTTGGGCTCAATATTCCATGAAAAGAAATATTTCATGAGCTTTCACTCATTTCTTACAGAATACCAAAATCACATAGGCCCCATATTCTTCTACAACTCCCAAAGCAAGCTCTGGGATCCATCCAGCCTTGAACATTCTCACCACTCCATAGGTTCTGGATCCATATACTACTGGCTCAAGAAGATAAAAACCAGGGACACCATGAGACCTTTCTTTGAAATGGCACGGCCAAAAGCCAGCATCTCAGGGAAGATGTTCTAGGCAGGCCAGGCCTGGCTTAACAAAGGCATTCCAGGATTTACAACTGTCTTTCCTTAGGAAATCCCCAAGCCTGGGCCCCTTATGTTGCCAACGCCTCCTGCTGTCTTTCCAGGGTCTTTTCCTATTGGACCCATGGCCAGATTCCAAACAAAAAACAGAACATATGGAAGAAAGCAGACAAGGGCTTTCAAGGAATCCCCAGTGATTCTCCAAATGTTATTTCAAAAAGGAAGGGAGGATGTTTTTGGTAAATATAAGCAGCCCTAACCCCAACCCTCCCTCTACAAAGATTGCTTCATCAATTAACCCGATTCAGGAATCAGAGAGAGCAAACAAAGGCAAAATCTTCAGGCTCAGAGCCAGACCCTCCATTGCCCTCATCTCTCGGCTTCCAGGCTGGTCCCCCTCTCCCTCCCTCCCCCCTTCCATCCCAAAACATCTCTTGTCTTGGACAAGAGAAAAGAGAAGAGCAGAGGGAGAGGACGAGGGGACAGCCAGGATGCAGGAGCACTCCCAGGGCCTTAGCTCGGAGGGATCTATGGAGCTGCCTTCTCCCAGTGGACCACGGAGTCTCCAGTTTTGCAGAGCACTGGCTGGGAAGGCTCCCCTGAAACACAAGGTCCCAACTACTCTAAAGGTCTGTCCCATTTCCACTGGCCCACATCCTCTTATCCCCTCCGGTGCCGAGGAAAGCTAGCAGGAAATGGAATCGATCCGCAGCCCCCCAAGGCCTGTGGGCTCGGTTGAACTAGTGATTGGTCCCCACCTTCCACCCCAGCTCCAGCCAGGACCCACAGAGTGGGATGGCTTGTGAACCCCTGGAAGAAGTCGGGGCGCAGTGTGCTCACCCCTTCTTTGCTCGCGGGCTCCGAAGCCAGGATAGGAAACAGAGGCTCCCACGGGTAGAGACAGCGGCAGAGTCCCAGGTTCAAGACTCCCTGGCGGTCACCCTACCCCCACCCCACCCTCAAGCTGCCGATGCTTCAGCCTCATCTCTCTGCGGGGATGGAAGGACAGAGGGAGGGAAGGACCAAGGAGGGATAGGGAATGGTCGGATGGGGGAAGGATTGAGGGAATGCTGAAGGGAAGGACAGAGAGATGGAGGGATGTAGAGAGGAGAGACAGATGAAGGACCGATGGAGGGAAACACAGGATGCAAGGAGGGCTGGGAATGGACGGGGGGGGGGCTGGATGGACCGAGGCTGGGAGAGCCGGAGGGCTGGAGATGCTCACTCGCCCGCTAGCTCACCATTATCCTCGGAATGCTCTTCTTGCCTTGGTACGACATGTTCAGCCTCCGCAGAACCCCCGCAGGCCCCCGCCGAGCTCCCGGTTCTGTCTGGGTGTTTGCCTAGGTCCGTGCGGCGCCAGTGGGTTTCTGAGACTGTGGGGGAGGGGCGAGGGTCCGCCGTGGACTTTGGGGGGGAAGTGGGGGGCGCCTCTCTGGGTTCTCAGACACCAAGGAATTGTGCGTCTATGTGCGCGCGCGCAAAGTGTGCGGGAGGAGAGGCTGTTGTTCTGAGGCCTAGTGGCCCCGCGCCTGGCTCTGTCCCCGCCCCGAGTCTAGCTCCGCCCCTTCCAGGCCAACAGTTGCTGCCTGGCTGGGCAAGCCTTGGTTGGAGGGGGCGGTGCTCTGAAGAGCGGAGCTCCACCAGGCTCCAGTCCAGGCCCCCGATCTCCTCCTGGATACCTCTCCCCCTCCCCCAGGACTCCCCGACCCCTCCAAACTTGATGGCCCCATTCTGAGCGGGCTCGGACCCGGGCGTGTCAGTGTGGGGTCCCGCTGTCAGTTCCTAAGGCGGCTCCAGTTTGGTTGGAGCGGGGTAGGGGAAACTGGGCCAGGATCGAGGGGTGCAAAGAGGGGACAGCCTGACTCTGGCCCAACTTCCCCAAGTCCAGACTTGGGCTTACGGCTAAATGAGCCCCGCAGGCAAAGGCCAGGAGGCTGGCGTGGTTCTGCAGGAACAGGACTAGGGGACGAAGGTGGGAAGGACAGGCAGGTGGAGCCGGGCTCTCCTTTCGGTCCAGATCTGTCTCTGCCTATCTGTCTCTACCTGTATATAGTTATGACACAGATACAGCCTGGGACAAACGCACAAACAACTCTGTCTCTCAGGGGAGACCTCAAGGCCTCCCGACCCAGGGTTCTCCCTGCCTCCGTCCTCACGCGCTCCTCCTTCACTCGCTCCCCATTTGCTGGGGCTCCTAAATTTTCACATCTTGGTTCTCTCCTCTTCCCAACCCTATGCTGTTCCAGGTCTTAGCTCCTGCCCTCGGCCTTCAGGGCTTTAGTGAGTCCTTCCCCAATCCCTCCACCAAGGAATCCCTCAGATCAGGGGAATGGGTGCTAGTTGTAGTGCCCCGTACCTGGGGTTGATTCGGAGAAACCCCAGCAGCAGATTGAGGGCTGGGCTTCCAGGGCCCTGCGCCCTCTCCGGTGGCCTCAGGGGGACTGCTGTAGGTCTCGCTGTACCAGTTGGAGCTGGAACTTAGGCAGCCGCTCCTCTTGGCGACACTCGGGGAGGCGAAGGTCAGGGTTTTGTTCTCGAAGGGGTCTTCTATATTGCAAAACATACCGCCGAGTTTGTGCCTGGCTTTGGGGCTGCTGCCTGAGCCCAGGGAAGCGAAGTAGGCAGGCAGCTCCGGCTTCCTGGCCTGAGGTTCCTGTCTCTCTGCCATAGGGTGGCCGTCAGAGAAGGTCTCCCTAGACGCACCTTGCGCTCTGCGCCCGTCGTGGGCCAGGAAATGAGTTGAAGCAGGTCACAATTCCCGGGCGGGGTTAAGAAAGGTCTCTGGCCGCCTGTCCAATCTTCCAGCGCAGACTGAAGCCGGTGGAGCTGTCCGGCAATCTGTGGTGCTGAATGCAGTCTGGGAGTCCAGGAGGCCCGCCCAGATACCTAGGGGGAGGGTCCCCACTCCTGTCACTTTTCTTGAAGACTTCTCGGCTCTGTTTGGCTGTGGGACAGGATAAGCATGTGGTGGCTAGGAGGACTGGAGAAACTGAATATTCAGAACCCCTGACAAGCTTTCTCTAGCCACTCCATTTTCTCATCCCCAGGAACTGTGTGCCCCGAACTCCACTGGATAACTTATGGGAAATGCAATGGGATCCTTCTGGCACCCTCCAGCAGTAGGCTGACTGCATATGACCAACGCACAAGTTATAAATGGGCTTCTGGGGCGGGGGGGGGAGAGGGAGAAACTGGACAAGGGTCTGGGTCTGAGTCCTGGTGCCTGAGGTTACTCCTTGAAATGTCGCTTTCGCAAGCATCTTATCATGGTCATCATAACATCATAACATGTTACAACATTATTCTATTATTTATTATCACCCTAGGCATTATGAAAATTTTATCTTGGGGGTGTGGAATGATGAGTATCATTTCAGCATTAAAATAATGCTGTAGATTTAAGGTATCCACACAGCTCCATTCTCCCCAAGCTCCGGGGAAAACCAGATTCAGCTTTTAGGTTGTACAGACTCTGGCATCTCCTTACTTTCTATGTTCCAGATAATGAAAATCATGTTCTTCACCTTGACCTTACACGTTGTTATTCAATAAAATACCATTATACTCACATGTCTGGTACCATTATGTAATGGAAACTTATTTAGAATGGTCTTTCCTATTGGGATAAATACTTTCATTTTGGGAAAATAGTTGAATATTTTCTCAGAGAGGAATTTAATAGATAGCTCCATGATCAGAGAAGATGCTGAGTGGGCACCTTCTGCTAACCCCAGCCATATGGTGATTTCTCCTGGTTATTATCACTGCTTCAGTGGCAGATCACCGTTTTTGGATCTTGTCTCTTCACATTCCTCTTTGTGATCTGGAGAAGAACCAGATCATCACCCTGGCAAACTTAAGAGGCTTTGTTATTCAGAGAAGACAGCTCATTGAAATACGGAAGTGAGAGTTATCATGGTTGATTCAATTGATAAATTCTAACCTCCTTCCTCCCAGGTGACAGGGTGGGAAATTTCTCTACTATTTTAAAGGTTTCAAACTTTTTTATTAAAAAGTTTGCAATCATTTATTATTTTACAAATGAATAGAAATCCTCAGATATATCATATGAATCACAATACAAAAATATGTGTAAAATTTTGTAGCTGATCAACATCCAGTCCTCTTTTAGACCTGCAAATTACAGTTATAGCGCTAAACAAACAATTATATATGCAGAATGCGGTTATTAAGATATTACCAGAGAAAATGCAAGTAAGTCATGATATATTTGTCATGAGAAAACAAGATCTATAACTCATATTTTGCATAAATGTACAATAAAGCTTTTTTGAAGGTAGTCAATAAACTCATAATTTAATACATGTGTTCACACTATGATTTCCTGAGTTTAAACTAAATTCCTCATATGTGGGCTAAAACATATGCTAATTCTTAAGGTTTCCATGATGATGACAATTGTATTTGCTTTTAAACTGCCAAAGAGAGAGAGAGAGAGAGAGAGAGAGAGAAAGAGAGAGCCTCAGGCAGATTCCTAACTACCAGGATCCCTGCTGATAAGCTGTGTAAGGCACTCAGGGGCCATACTGAAGGCTATAGATATTACTAGAGAGGGTCCTTTAAATCCTAGGCCTTCACCAGCTTGACCCTTAGAGCACAGATCTGAAATAGCCAGTCATCAGCAAATGATGCTCAATTTAAGGGGGCTTTAGTTTAGACAACTCAGGAAGACACATGGTGTTTGTGTTCTTAACATAGCACAAGGATAGTGATCATAATGAATGTGCAGTTTATATTTCTTAATGAAACATTTCTGGTGACTTTAGCATCTCTTCAGGAACTCTATTAAGAAGAAATGCATTTGCATGGGTTTCTCAAGTTCCTGAAGAAAGCACTTTGTATATTGGTAATCAATTGTGATGTGTGAGTATGTAGTGGGGAAGGGGAGAGAAATGTCAATCCAGCTCCTCCTGCCTTGGAATATTAGGTCAAAACTAGGAGATGGGAAATGCACCCTGATCTGGAAACACTTAGGGTTTGGAGTTACTCCTGGAACCAGAAAGCTCAGAAAGAGGTACGTGAAGAACCTATATTTAGCCTAAAATCCCTCCCCCCCCCCAAATCTCATATTTGGAGGATAAGATTAAAAGAAGGTGCATGTACCCATCAGTAAGAAGGAGGCCTCACATGAAAACAAATGCAATGAAATCAGTGTAACTGATTGACTGAAATCAGGCAACAGAAGAGGCTGTATATGGTAGACCAGGCAGGCCTCCGAAGAGATCCCGAGTGGCCACTTAGCTGACTTCAGGTGGGGGCGCTATTCTCTGAAAACATTCAACCAGCTTTTTTTTTTCTTTTCTATATACATACCTTTTTACATATAAACACTGACAATTTTGTAAGTATCAATACTTATTTACATGCTTTTCTTTTCTATACAGTTAACTTTTTTAATTTTTAAAAAAGCTATGCTTATGGGGTGGAGTTTATGGGGCAGGAGAAAGGAGTATTTTAGACATATCTACAACATGCAAAATCATGGTCCAGGTAAAGAAAAATGAAAGGTACTTCAGCTCACTTCAAATAGATGTCTTGACACTGGTTGAGACAGCAAATGCTCTCATACAGACCCACAGTGGGCCAGCAAATAGCAGCACTGAAGCACCTGGGCTCCACTAGAAGAAAACTAGGGGAGCCTGGTGGGCATTGAATTAAGGCCTATTTAGAAATGCCTGCATAGTACATTCCACTGAATTTCAATCCAAGAGTTCCAGAGCGGCTCAGCTTCAAAGGGAAGAGCATTCACTGCAGCTCTAAGCAAAACAAATGTGAGAGGCTGATGTAGTGATTGGAATCCAGCCTATTGGGACATTAAGGATTCAATGATATTTTAAGCTTGAAATACGAAACTATGATATCAAAAGCACTTATGAAAGGCTCACAGTGGGAAGCAGTTTGTCATGGGGGATAAATTGTGCTGAATGGTAACAAAAAGGTATGGGCCCTTCTCATCTATAGACTTGCTAATGGTACAGTTCCCCAGTAATTATCCTGTGTCCACCTCAGTACTCAGTGCAGGGAGGGGTCAGTTAAGCTCCCATCTGATGGAAACCCTAGAAAATTCCAATCCTATCCAGTTCATGTGGATTTTCACACCATGAACAGAAAACTGTCTCTATTACTGATACATTTACCGTCAAACACATTTAGACAACTCAATCTTCTCCTTCCTTCACTACTCCCTATCTTAAAACTCACTTATTCATGCAGTTTGCCTTTCTTTTCTTGTCCATTCAAAAGTCTAAGTGATCTGCACCCTATTGCATGCTAAATACCGAATGTTCCAACTGCCATGTGATATTTTTTTTTAAAGCTTAACATCC